TAAATAATATGTACAAAGTAGGCTCACTGGTTATCCGGGCTTCTACCAATCGCTTTCCAGTATTGCTTGCATCATTCTGCTTCTGTCTGGGCCGCACGATCTCTAGTTGGCTGGTACGATCTACCTATGGTATGTAGTCAGAAGCAGTGACACGTACGCGCGTTGTTGACGTCACTCGCGAAGTTTGATTGATCGCAGTTGTCCAAAAACTGTGACCCGTCGCTCCAGGATACGCGTCATCTCGAAGGCCCAGATCACCGCAGTTGGCTTCGAGATAGCTATACAGTCTGGACGATCCGGAACAAAAAAAAAAAACAGAGTCGCGAAGGTATAGCAAGGCCAAATCCCGCGTCTTGCACTCACATTCGAACTTGGTAACAAAGTTATTAACTTGAAATTCTGCTTGGGAAGCGGATCTCTGGGGTGTGGGACGAACAACGTTCCAGCTATCAAGATAAACCAAAATGGGCTTAGGGTGTGTCCGTCCTGGACAGAGAAGAAAGAGAGGAAACAGACGGACATGAGTGAGGATGGAGATAAGAGGATACTGTCTCGCGAATCATCTGATCAAGGCCACGCCCGCGGTCATCACGGGGATTGGGGAAATTCATTAGTACACCTGGTTTTGAAGAGTCTCTCCTCAGTCTCCTCAGTCGGAACAACAAGATTCAGACAATGAGTAGGAGCGAAATTCTCTGTAAGCCAACCTCTACCATTTTATCAGCTCATCAGACACAATAACTTTGTGTTCACGGGTATATTTTTGCCTTTACGCAACTGGATGTGTCGTAAATTCGTATTGTATTGAAAACTACAACTTGTTTGGTTGCTCGAATTACCTTTTTCTTCTTTAATCACCAAACGTATATTTTTAACAAGGTTCTCATTTTCTAACGATAACCCATCGTTAAATTGATTTTTACAGCCAGCAGATAAATTTAGGGGAAGGTTTACATTTCGCCTACCGTTTTTTTCGCTTAGAACAATGGGAAATTTATAACACAATGTGCTAACAAATACAGTACTCGAGATTACGCACACCACGGAGCAACACGATACAGTTTTAGGACAAGTGTGACCAATCAAGTTTCACGACTGACGTCAGCAATGCGCGTAAGTGTCACAGCTTCTGAACTACGTACCATAGGTCGATCGTACCAGCCAATCAGAAACCGTGTAGCTCAGACAGAAGATGAACAACGCCAGAAATACTAGAACACGATTGGCAGAGGCCCGGATGATCAATGAATTTGTTTTGTATGTATTAATTAATTCCCTTTATTTCTTCCAATAAATTAGCTACTACTCCTGTGGCCTTTTCCTCGCGTCTCAATTGCATTGGATATTGCATGGAAATACCAGTGTGGTTCAGTGCTTGCGCTTCGTCCGTGATTCGTATTCCGTGATTTGTATTTTGTGTTCAGTGCGTAATACTAATACAACCATTACTACAGTTTAGTGAGAACTGGAGCGTGTTTTTTGTTTACTTAACTCGGGGCAGTAATCGGATTGGCAATGCCGAAAGCTAATACCAGCTGTTTTAGAGTGCGATGACGTAATAGCTGGTCAAAAGATAAAATCGTTTCTATCCGACGATTTGCATTCGATGAACCTCGTTTTCGGTCACGATAATCGTCGAGTGTGTTTTGTAGTGCGGATTTCTTCAATCAATGACAGATGGAAAAAGTGTACATCAAAGTATTTTCTCCCTGTCTCTGCAATGAGCAATTGGAGGATGTTTATCCAGTGCTTTGAACTGGTCGATAATGGGAACAGGTAGATACGTAGACTTGGTCCCGGTGCCATCGATAACGCCCAATAACATCTACTCAAATCTATTTCACTTATATCCTAGTCGTCATGACAACCACTCTAAACAACTTGTATCGGTTCCATCTTAGAACAGAATCGGTGAGACCAAAATGATACTTTGGCTGAGTGGATACTGCTTACTTGCATCGTTCATCACCTTAATGTATAATGAACTCAACTGACTGAGATTTCAGTTACGCAAAAGCGTGACGATGATTGCCGGAGGAATGTGGCTCCCATGCTTATGTATACATGTGCGTATGTATGTATGTATGTATGTAAGTATGTATGTATGTATGTATGATCTAATGGCCTACCCAATATACACGAATTTACATCCATATTAGGTCCACAATTAGCGCCATATCAGTCACGATTAATTAGTCGTATTGTACAATGCTATTGCTATTTTGGTACCAAAAGCGTTCTCTCACTGAGCTCCAGTGAACATTCAACGGAAAATTCGCGCAGGAAACGAAGAATCATTTATTTATTATAAGTCTGCAGTGTCTCATCGACCAACCCTGGATTTTATTCGATCAAACGAAGTGTTCTAAGAATGGTCGAACTACCGGAGATGGGAAATAAACCAGGCCGGGAACTGTGATGATCCCAGCCTGCGAGACGACGCGCACCCTGGAGCGACACGTTGCAGGTTTAGGACAACTGTGATCAATCAAGATTCACGGGTGACATCGGCTTCTGGACTACATACCATAGGTCGATCGTACCAGCCAATCAGAAACCGTGTAGCTCAGACAGAAGATGAACAACGCCAGAAATACTAGAACACGATTGGCAGAGGCCCGGATGATCAATGAATTTGTTTTGTATGTATTAATTAATTCCCTTTATTTCTTCCAATAAATTAGCTACTACTCCTGTGGCCTTTTCCTCGCGTCTCAATTGCATTGGATATTGCATGGAAGTACCAGTGTAGTTCAGGGCTTACGTTATCGAGCGAACAGAATATTAAAATATTTAATGCGAAATTCATGACATGTTAGATACTATGTGAGTATTCGTGTATCGCTGTTATTGAAAAAGATGCCGCCAGATTGTTATCCGCTCCTCCCAGCTGTATAAAGCGCCCTTATTTCCGTTGCATCAAAGGGGTTTCATAAAATAATGTTTACACTTGTTCAGTTTTTGATGCATGCCTGATGAAGTTCCACGGTTCACCTACCCGCGTCCCCCCCCCACACATACCCAGCGTTACCTTGGCACAATCTGCATCATGTTCCCGTATTGGAATCATAAACACTTACTTTTTTACACGGCATAATCAGTGTGACGGGCTGAGAATGTCCCATGTGAAAGCTTGTTCATAAGTGACCATCGGGAAGTGATCGATTTCGGTTTGAACACATATTGGTGATTGATTGATTGATTGAATGCCGAACTCCATCGGCGTAATTCTGTGTTTGATCATACTGTTGTGCGTTCCACAAGACAAAGATAGATAGATTTGTCAGAAAATAGCTTAGGAACGAACTCAATTGTTCAAAAAGAGTTCAGTTGGTATTTATTCACCGCTTTCAAAGGCGGCTTTCGTCGTTGACCTCGATAATTTCAACTCGTCTGCTATTCACCTCGTTTAGTCGCATATGTTTCGGTAGATAAAATTTGCTATTTATCAACAAATTATGAACTGAGATCGGGATGTGAACATGTATGGCCCATATAATATCACACACTGAAGTACACGATTCGTGGTGCAGTTGAACCAGTGTTTATTGATCGCTGTCACGTTCTACAAATATGCAAAAAGCGTAGAGAGCAAATGTTTTGTAAAAAAAATTAATTTGTAAAATTACACGGACCAAGTAGATTGGTTCTCACTTTTTTCAGATTTACTGATGCATGCGCATGGATTTATTAGAGGCTGTAATAGTTGAAATACACGTTGATCACGAATTACGAATCACGTATCAGAAATCACCGACGCCACAGAAGCGCTGAATTACATTGGCCCTTACACGACGGTATCCTACGTAACCGAGACGCAAGGAAAAGGCCACAAGAGTAACCGTTATTTTATAGATAGAAATCAAGGAAGTTTAAATAATGTTAACAAAATAAGTTCATTGATAATCCAAGCCTCTACCAATCGCGTGCTAGTATTTCTGGCGTCGTACAGCTACTGTCTGGGCCGATCGGTTTCTGATTGGTTGGTACAACCGGCCTATGATTCGTAATCGGGAGGCTGTAAAGCGTAGGCACTTTGCTAGCGTCACCTGAGAAGCTTGAATCATCACAGTTGTCCAGAAACTATGACATGTCGCCCCGTGGTATGCGTCATCCCGTAGGCTAGGCTCACCACGATGACTCATCCAAAACTAAGTGGCGTACATCAGCGATTCACCCGTCCAGCAGCAGATGCCACATCTTTCGAAGCTGGTAAGCGGTTCCCTGGACAACCATCTAGTCAGGTAGCTAACGGGATAGTGATTAACGCACACAGAACACCTGTAAAGGCTGGATTCAAATATTCATCATTTGTCTAACTGACCGAAACGAGGGAGGGGGGTAAAGAACTTTTCAACTTCTGTCCATTTGTAGACGGTCACCGAATAGCCTCCCCAAATCAAAAAGCGTTTGGCTACTCACTATAAATTTA